TTTTTTAAAATTTTTTCAGATAAATGTTTTTTTATAGAACTCACTGGAAAATATATATTTACATTCTTCGGAATTTTACTATCTTAAGTGCCTACTAATATGAACAAATAATGTTATTTTTGCAAAAATGTATTGTATCATATTTTCAATTTTTTTGAACCCATCATTTTGCTAAGACAAAATTGCAACCAAGAAACAGTACAATGACAGTTATTCCATTTTTCCTTTTATTTAACATATAGAGTTAATGCAAATGCACTAGGAAAATGGGTCCTTGTAATTATTGAAAATGTTTTGAACTGACTTTGATTTGTTGTTGATTATGGCTATGGTTAAAAAGAATTGTTTGGATGAGATTTCATGGTCTAAGGGTAAGAGAAAGGATATTTGTGGTCAAACTTGTAAAAGAATCTAACTATTTACATTTTTTTTTGATATATTTAATTTTAAATATTTTTTATTTATATATATATTTATATATATGTGTTTACTGTTTTCAAAGCTTCAAATATTTAAATTTTATCCTCAAAATCTCTATAGACAACGATATATGCCCATAGTTCAAGTTTATTTAAACCTGGATCTTTTTTGATTATCAAAAAAATGAAATAAAAAATTCTAAATTTGGACATTTTTTTGACTGATGTATTATTATATAAATCTCTTTTAACCCTTTTTTTTTGAATAAAATATTCCTATTTTTTTACTGTCTTTGATGTTTCATGTACTTATCTCATTATATAGCATATATATATATTTATATTTTATCTAACAAATTATATAATTGATAAATATATATTTATAATAATTTTTTATATGACTATGTTATATTAAAATAAAATATATGTTTTTTTCATATATATATATATATATATATATATATATATATATTTCAATATATATATATATTGTCTTGAAATGAAATTTTAATGGATATTATATATATATATATATTAGTCATATATATATATATATATATATATATATATATTATTCGTATATATATATATATATATATATATATTATAAATATTTCATTAAATTTAGTACATATTTATCCTTTTTGTTCAAAAATTTTTTTTTAAAAACAAATTATTTTATTTGATTTCGTTTTATTATATATTTATTTAACTAATAATTCATTTTTTATTTTTTCTCAGTAAATTTGGGGGAAATTTATCAATATATAGGATAAATTTATAAATATATATTTATATATATATATTTTATATATTTTTTTAATTTTATACATATATATATTATATTATTCTGACATATATTTATAGAATAAATAAATATATATATATTTATATTCCATGTGTGTCAGGTTGTATTTTTCTTGAATACTGATTTTTTGATGAATTCAATTTAAAAAAATGAATTTATATCCTGGAATGGGAAATAAAAAGAAAGGATAATCTCTATTTGACATTACCTATCATGTTTATTTATATATATATATATATATAAGTATATATATGTTAAAGAATTTTAAGTTTTTAAGAGAAACCGTAAAATCGAAACATTTGGAAGGTTATTAAAATTTGTTTTCATGTTTGATTCGCCCAACATTTTCATTTAAAATCCTATCTTCTGGTTATCCTTTTCGGTGGAAAATATAATAAAACACTTTTGATTTAATAACATATCAATAAATATATTGGCTAATGATCTATTCAACCTTTTATATAAATAATATATTTAAAATTGGAGTATTTAGAAATTTATTTAAAAAAAACAATTATTTATTTATTTAATTCTTTAAAAACAATTTAGATAACAGATGGATTTAGGTTATATATATAAAGTTCGGTTTTGTTGGTTTCAATCAAATAAACCTTAGTTAAAAATTCGAAAATGAAAGTGATATCGATTTATTTTGATTTTAGACAACTAATTCATGTTTTCCTGAAAATCAGTGAAAGCTCTTCATCCTTTTTTTTTTTAATTTTTGTGTCAAATGGCGTCGAATCTTCAATATATATTTATATATATGGCTTTTCATATACCGTATTTTTATTGCAAATTATTGGTTTATGTCACTGACTGATTTGGCACCATCGTCTCTGTCCGAAAAAAAAGTATGAGTAAATTGATTCAAATTTTTTGTTATCATTCTGGGATCTAATGAGAAGTACTCCTTTGTGAGATAAAGTCACAAACTGTTTGCTTTTTTATATCTAAATTTTTCTTTGATTTTGTAAAGAATTTTAAAATCTTTAATATTTTTACATTAAATAAAAAAAAAAAATAAAATTTAAAAATTTTGTTTTAAAATAAATTTATATCGCCATTTTCCAGAAAATACAATTATTTTCAACTGTTATTTTGATTGAACTGAAAGTTACTGAATATACCTAAGAGAATGGATGGAGTTTATTGATCTGGGCTTTTCCTGCATATTTTACCATTCCAATATAACGGAACCTGACTTTATACGCAAGTCAAAAGCAGTTGGTTCTAGCAATTATTTTCCTTTCTGCACAGGTGAAATTGTGCAAGCTTGCCACTTAACTCTTTTTCAATTTCCTAATTGCTTGGTTCATGAAGACAATTTATACTTAACTTATCCGAAATGACAGGCCACTGATCAGGGAGGTTTGGAAGAACAAAGGACTTTTTTTTCGGATATAAACCATTTCCGAGGATTTTCATCCTAAACCAGGTGGTAGGCCCATTGAGTCCTAAAAACTGGCAAATAGTTAACCTCCAAACATTAGTAAAATCATTGACAGACAGTAAAAATCAATTTTTAACTAACACTGTTTAGTTCATTTTAATAGTAAATAATAAATTACCTTATATACACATGTAACACGCGATCCCGCGTATCGTGTGATTTCCAAATTTTCACTTATAAAAAAGGATTTTTTATTTCTTGTGTATCGCGAGTTTTTTTTTGAGAGACCAAATTACAATAGACTAAAACCTTTTTTCCTCTATCTTTTATCCCATTTTCTAGTTAAATTAGTTAAAATAGTAAAAGAAATGATAAAATTATCGTTAGTAATGCTATACATGTTGCGTAAACACGTACAGCCATAAACAACCAAACGAGAAACAGCTAAACAACTTATAAACGTAAACAATGGAAAAGATGCATATTGTTTGTATTTTATAAAACGATACCAATGTGAATATTATACGCATTATTATTGATATTTGAATAAAACAGATATATATAAATACAGGTATATTTTTTGACCTAGCAAATGGATACGTTAGAAATTTTTTATATCTCACGTATGATGCAAACTTTAAAATTAGCTTACAAAATTAAGTCTTTAAAAGTCGCATGTTACAAAGTATATATGATTTAATAACATGTTTATAACGTTCTTTATAGATAAAAAATGGACAATATCTTAAGATAATTGTTGGACTTTTGTCCAGGTCCTAATGTGACGTTATTTGTTTACATTTGATATGTTTGAGCAGATATGAATGTATGAGAGAAAATCATGGAGAATTGTAGTTTAAAAACAGTAAAAAAATTCCTTTCTAACCAAAAACGTGTCCCCAATCAATGTAAAAGCACACAGGCTATAACACAGTACACATATAGGATACAGGTTTGATTCCGTCAGAGGACACATATTTCTATGAAAATTTCTCAAAAATCAATGCCGGAAATGTTGTTAATACTGTTTATTATAAACAGAGCATTTACTTAAAAATTTGTATCTTATAAAAAAAAAAAAAGAATGCATAAACATAAAATGTCCTAAAGTTATTTCTTGTACATTCATATCTGAACGATAGGCGTAAAAAAATTAAAATAAATAACGCCACACATTATATATAATATTTGCGTATAGGTTATAGGCATTATTCCTGTCGGAGGACACATATTTTCATTGAAAATTACATTATATTCAGGGCATTGTATGTCATTATAGACTGTTTATTATAAACAGAGCATCTATTAAATATTTGTATCTATTGGAATTATAAACATAAAAAATAAGTCTTAAAATTTTGTCAGACTTTTATCCAAATTAAATGTGTGACGATGTCTTATATATATATGATATCTTATTTTTCATAACAGATGTTATACTGGCTCTGTTCTGACACAGCAACTATTTTCTTTTTCATTTTAAGAGATTCGTAAACTGGCATTGTCGTTTGACCCGGAAATAAGCTGGTGGCAATTATTTTCAGCAGGTAGGCAGTTTGGTTTGAACAAATTTGTTTAAACCACTTACAAATAAAATATTCAGGTTTTGCTTTGAATATGAAAGGAATGCCTGAAATGAGGAATTATCATTTATTCTATACAAATTGTTGTCCTCATCTTTAGAATGTTATCCATTGAAAACTTGACTTTTTTCCAGGTGATATCGAAGAAATGTACAAAAGATATTCTTAAATGGTAGCTAGACCAGAACAGATAATAGAAACCTGTGGATATAAAGAGAAAAGTGTTTAGCCTGGAGCACAGCAACTGAATAGGATGGACACTTCAAGGTGGTCAGAGGGTGCAACAGCTGATGCTTTGTGATGCTAGCAATTTGGACGAGGACATAAGTCCAGATCAATCTGTATATAATAACAATTTATTTTCCCAATGTATTTTGTCATTATTTGAATGCCATAAGGAAGGAAAAGTTTCTTGAAACTTTTCTTTTTTTCCTGTTGTTTCTGGGTGACTTTTCCAATAAGTAAACAGATACACCAACAATGAGAATGTATTCAGGCATGTTCACTTATATATTAGATATATTTACAAAGGAAGATAAAAGATGTTGGAATGCTTGGCAGGTGGTTATTGGGTATAAGAGAGGAAATAAAAGGGGTGGAGAGGGTAGAGGAAAGAGGAAAGAGAATGTATATTTAAAGAGAAAAAATAAGTTTAGATGGATGAGGTGGCGTCAAGGCATGACAAGAATTAAAAAAATCGTGGAGAAGGGTTTTGGAGAGACGAAAAAGTGGTGTAGAGGGCAGAGCAGATAGAAAAAAAAGAGCTAGAGAGGGTGATCCAAACAGAAAAACATGTATTAAGAAGGGTAGAGGAAAGAGGGAAAAAAGAGGTTGAGAGAGAAAGAGGTGGAGAAGGCAAAGAAGCAAAAAAGGGGTGGAGAGGACAGAGGAGAGACAAAAAAGGGGGTAGAGAGAAGAAAAGAGGTGGAGAGGGAAAGGATAGGATAAGAGAAGAGAAAGGGAAGAGGAAAAGAAAATGAGAAAACCCAAGAGAATAGAAGAGTGAATAAAAAAAGAAAGGAAAGTAATATAAGGATATCAAGAGAAGAAAAGAAATGCACAAATGGGTACAGGAGGAGGAGGAGGAAAGGAGGCAGAAAGGGAAGAGAGTGAATAGAATAAGAAAGAGTGGCAGGGAGAAGAAAATGAGACTGAAAGAGAAGGTAGGAAAATATTTTTAAAAAAAAATGACAGGAAAGAAAAAGAGAAGGAAAAACTTTTTTCTTCGGTAGTAAAACAAAAAAAGAAGGCAATCTAACAGGATAGAGAAAAAAGGACAGGTAGAAGGAGGGAAGGAGAGAGAATAAAAGTAATCCTGAGAGAGGAAGATGAAGAAAAATAAAAAGTACCCAAAAAGAAAGCCATCTGATTTAAAAAAAAAATAAATAAAAAAAATATTAAACAAAATTCAAACTCAAGAAGATGTCTTTGATGAATTCTTTGGCTCAAGTTCAAAAGCAAACAGTGAAATTGGCATTTTGAATGGAGCTCGAAACTGATGAAAGCCAATCCAAACCCAATAAATCTCGTCCTTCACCCTCATCCCACCAAAAAAAGGTCCAACTAGAGAAGTCCTGAAAGAATATTGCCTGGATGGGGTTGTACTATTTGAATATGGAGCCATAAATGGATCAGTTCCTGTAGAAATGTCGGTAATTCCCTCGTCTGACAGAAATGCCAAAAGCTGACAATTGGTTGCTGCATTGAATGCAGACTAATAAAAAAAAAAAATGCATTTTTTTTATTTGCTTATCATGACCATAAATATTCGCTAAAAAAAAAGTTTGAAATTGTTCATTTTTGAGATTCAATTCAGATAAATATTATATATATATATATATATATTAGATTATGAAAAATACCAAAATTTATTAAAGAAAGATTTTCTGAATTGTTTTTTTAAATTTTAGTCCTTTTAAGTTCAGGTTAGAAATGAAAAAAAAAAAAAAAAAAATGGAACAGTGTTATTTAAAAAATCCTTGTTATCATCATTTCTCAAAATGAAGGAGAAAATAAATCTAATGTTTAATTAAATTTTTTTAGGTATGTATATTACATTCAATTTTTTTCATTCTAAACCCGAAAAAAATTTTAAAGAGTTAAATTGAAATTTTGTGGAAATAAATTAGAGTTTATTCAATAATTTAAATTGCCTGATGAGATGCATATGATACATGCAGAAAACACGATTTTATATTGGTTAATTTCTTTAAAATTTTATTTGTTATCTTTTTTTTTACATGTTTTGTGATATAAAATCCTGCTGTCTTAAATCATATTGAACAAATTGTATTGAGCTCGGGGCAATTAAATGTTACAAATGTTTTTTACAAATATAAAAATACATTCTCATCTTAATGGAGATTTTTAAAATGAAATGTATTTGTAAAAAATTTATTATATATAACAAATATTTATATTATATTCAATATCCTTTTTTAAAGATTTTGTAAATGAATTATTTTTGAAATTACCGTTATTGCTAGAAAGAATATTGTCAACTCTGATACTCATTTTATTTTTCTATTTACATTTAAAAAAACATAATTTATGATTTTCTTTTTGGAGAAAGAAAGGTTTTTTTTTTTAACGGTGTGAATTTTGGACATGGATAAATTTAACAATTCTCATCTTCTCTGGGTCATGAACTGGTTAAATTTTATTTTCAAATCACTTGGTACCAATTTTTCAAAACTTATTATAAAAACATTTTTCTAATTATTTTTGGTCATTTTCAGTTTGGAAAATGTTTTTATGTGTAGAAATGAGAAACTAAAGTGAACTGAAAGATGTAAGATAATTAAATTTTTTTTTTTTTTGGATTTTTTTTGACCACTAATGAAAAAATGGACAAGAGACATGAAAAAATCATAACTTTTAACTAAAGTAATGGAACAGACAGCAAAAAATGAATGCAGATGGGGAATTTTTTTCATTTGATTTAATGATAATAAAGTCGTAAAAAAAAAAAAATCTAAAAAATCATAAAACTGAAAATTTGGTCTTCTAAAAATGACTTTTTTGATATTTTTAGTTCAAAAATGTTTTAATTTTTGATTAACCTTAATTCATGTAAATAAATTTTTTTTTCATCTAAAAAAAACTTTTATTAATATCACAAGAAATATCAAAAAATTTTTGAAAAATCATTTTTTGAAAATAAAAAATATCTTTTTGAAAAAATAATTGTCAAACATTTGTTACAAAAAACGAAAATCAAATTCATGAAAAACATGATAATATATGAGAAGAAAATTAAAGGAAAATTGATAAATAAATTTTTGAGAAGGATGCAATTTTTCATTTAGATTATTTAAGATTTATAAATTTAATTTATTGGTAATTTTTTTTTCATGGTTTGAATTTTATTTTAAAAGCATTTTAATGAAAAATTAATGCAGAATTTCTCCATCAAAATACTTTGATAAGAATAGTTTGGTTCAATGGTTTAAAATATATGGAAATTATTTCCTTATTTGTAAATCATTTCAGGTGAAACTTTTTTCTTTCAATTTATGGACCAAAGACAAATATAAAACAACATTTTTCATGAAAAAAGAAAATTATAAAAAGCCTTAATATGATTAACGGAGTTTTATTTAGAAAAAATTTCAATTTGAAATTTTCATATGATTTAAATTGTTGAAAGGTTATAATTTTTAGACAAATCTGATTCCATTAGTTTAACAAAATTTCTTAAGAAAGAAAATTATAATTGTTTAAAAGAATTTAAAATTTAGGAGAAAATTCATCAAGATTGAAACCAATAATGGAAAAAGGAAATTCACTCTCGGTCAAATTGTTTTTGTATTAATAACTTATATTAACAGACACCTGAAAAAAAAAGGATATTTTGTATGGCCAAAACGGTTTTCTGAAGATTTTATTATTTTCACATGATTGAATAGTGAAAAATGTTAACAAATGTCCAGTTTAAGAAAAGTAAATTTAATTTTTTGTTTTTCTGTGTGCATAAAGGCTTTATGTTGTAGAACAAATATTATGATGTTTTTGCAAACCTTCTCAATGATAATAATAATATTATATAGTGAAGAAAAATACACTGATCAATATCCTCTAATAGATTGATGGAAATCAACAGTTACCAATTAAAATTTGTTTCATCTATTAACCCTAGATAATTAAAAAAATTTTAATGTGTTATTTTCAAAATTTTAGAAATGAGATTCAATGAACAAAAAAAGAAAAAAATTTGTATCGAATGAGAAATTGCAAAAAATAAACATTTAAGCAATAAATATTGTTTATTTTATTTTTTTAATTTCAAATTATATTAAACTTTGGTTTATATATAATATTTATTAAATTAATTATGGCTTTTTTTTTTTCCTTATTATTCAAAATTTCAACTTTTAAAAGAGAGGTCATAGTTGAATATTTTTTTAATTAAGTAAGAGTTTTAAAATTAATTTCCATAAAACAATGGACAAGTGGTTGAATCAGCTTTTTTTGAAATTCAGGTTTGATTCAATAAAAAACCTATTTTAATCTTTTTGTTGACTATTATGAGCTGGTTTCTTTGGAAATCTGTCAGTCAAATAAACAATGTCTAGTGTGCTGTTGTTGATCGAAGAAAATAGCTGAAGATTGGAACAGAAAATTTATGTCAATTATCAATTAAAGTAATTAAATTTTTACCAAATTTTTGCTTTCTTTTTAAAGAACATTTCCATCTTACTTTGTATGATAACACTGTTAAACAAATGTTTTGGAGTGTATGGATAATCCCCATTTGATGTTGGGCGATGAGAATATTGAATGGTGTTGGTTCCATTTCCTTCAGATTTTTTCATTGGAGATTTTTTTAATTACAATTGAACGATATAGAACTCAGTTGGTAAATGTTGAAATTTTATTCCTAACTTTCAGGACCTTAAATTCTGGTTTAGGGATTAAGAACATTTAATTGACACCAATTGACATGTTTGTATTTACAAAGTTTTTATTTTGTGTTTGTGTGTGATATCTTTCACACACACAATTGTAATTAGTATTTTTTTTTTTTTTTTTTTTTTTTTTTTACAGATAAAATTTCTTAGATAAGAAATTTCAAACCCATTAGTAATGGAAACAACGAATATTAATTTGAAAAAACATCAAGAAAAATATTGAAAAAAATGACCATTTTATACTTTTGAGAGAACTCCAATTCAATTTTATTATCAAAACTTTGTAAATATAATATAAGTGCACTAAAAAATATTAACTATACCATTTTAAATATTTTAATAAACATTGTTTACGTTTAATGTCAAATAATGGATACATTTTGTTATGACTTTTCTACATTAAAAGATAACAAAATTATCTAACGATCTTTGAAAAGAGGCCAGGAACTTGAACATGTAGATAGATTTTTACCTCCCCATTTAAACATACGCAACTTTAAAATACATTTACATTTGTTTGGATGATACCTATAAAAAGTACGTAAACTGTATATGTTTTTAACTATTTTTTTCTGCGATTGTTGGGTATATGTAGTTTTTTTTTTTGATGAACTGTGTGTTTGTGGTTTGTTTGTGGAACAATTTTCAATAACATTTTCAAACCTACTAGTCATAATTTCATCCATTTCAAAAGAAGTTGATTTTTTCCTTCACTTTGAAGTATTTTGATTCTCTTTTTGACAAAAGTGTTTTTTTTTTTTTTTTAATTTTTTTTTTTCTTTTTTTTGAAAACAGAATGTTTATTTTCATTATGTTTTTTAAATATTTTTCAAACAGGGGTATGCATATAAAATTAAATCTTAATTTTTGTTAATGGCCTTCGTTGGCCTTCAAAGGGTCATTATAACATGATTTACCCCATGGGTAAATGAAAAATGACCCTGGTTTTAGTAGATAAAATGTTGGTTTGTGAATTTGGTAATATAGTAGTTGAGAGTTTTACCCCTAGGTTCAGGCAAATTTACTTGCACCCATGGAAACAGGTGAGCATTAACTAACAGTACTAAATAAAAAATAAGAATTTTATGATATCTCTAGATTAGGTAAAACAAAGAACTTCTATTTCTACCATAGATTAAAAAGGATTCAGTTTGGAAATTTTATGGTAGGAATACCCAGATTAATATATATTTGAAAGGCCAGAGGTTATCAGTAACCCCCCCAAATGAGGACTGCTGTCTGAATTTATAAATAAAAAAATAGAACTATTTGGGACTAAAATTTGTTATGTGGTATGATGTATTTGGATAACTTATCTTGATTTAAATGTAATAAACTTCCTTATAATTGTTTTTTGTAATCAATTATCAAGAAATTGTTTAGAACAATCAATTTATACAGAAATTTTTGTCAAATTTCACCCACATATCGAGTCTTGATTTTGTTTTCAAAATATTATATGTTTCAACATTTCAAGATTATTTAACTAGACTTATGTTACATCAATTATTTATTTAAATTTGAGTTGTTAACTAACTTAGTAGGAAAATGTTTAGTTAAATTTGACGGATTTAATTTGACTGTTTTCTGTTTTAATATATTGTTACGTGGTGATAATTGTAACAAAAAAAAAAAATGATTTACCACAACACAGAGCTAAATCACAAACAAATATTTAATTTACTAAAACACAACATAAAATATATACAAGATA